ACAACTATGTCGAGGGAAAACCCCGACATTTCTGTTGTGCATAAAAGGTCACTATGAGTTGGAACCAACTCAGAGCACCTAATAACAACTTATAATTGTACCAGTTTCATTGTCATTTGGTGTTGCAATTATGCCTTCAACCTGGGAAAATACACCCTACAAGATTGTTTTCAGGAAACAAACATTTCTCCTTGTAATGGGATTTGAGAATGTATTTTTTTTAAACCATATATATATATAATTATTCTTTTTATTTAAGATTTTATTGTGATTTGAGTGATAGTTTACAGGGGAGAACATTGGTTTTGCACTCATCCTATCAAATTTTGTTTCATTGCAATGATTTGAATTCCTTCCATGCATCATCATTTAACAGTATTTGCTTCTATTTCCTCTTTTGTTTTTTTTTAACTTTTTATTGTGAATTGAGTGTCCCTCCATTTTAATTACCTTTTAATTCCATTCTTCTATAAAAGTTTTGAAGCCCCCTTGTGTGTATTACTAAGAGTCCTACTCATGCAGTGGTTGAGCACTTAGCTGCTAACTATAAGGTCTGGAATACTAACCATGATGTTGGTAGTTCAAATCCACCATCAGCTCCACGTGAGAAAGATGAGGCCTTCTCCCTAAAAGATTTACAGCCTCAGAAACCCTACACAAGGCTGCTATGAGTCGGAGCCCACTGGGTATTGCTTTTTCAAAAAAGAAGGGAGAGAGAGAGAAAAAATCCCAAAGAGACTCAAACAGTTAAAAAGACTATCAACTGACAAGTCTGAAGAAGGACTGCAGTACAACTGCCCCAGTTGGCTGGTGCTTGGGGGAAGCTCAAGGTGCCCCCAAGAGCTAGCAGATGGGAATGATGTGTAATGTGGTGTGAGTCACTCCAACAACACCTCCCATGCTGCGCAGGACCGCTGGATAGATAACTATCACACAGAAATGCAATTCAGCTCCTAGAAGCCACCAGGCAGTTTCCTATAAAAGCCATTTAAATGGAGATAAACACACCAGAAAGGAACAACAGAGATGCAAAATGAAACAAAGGTTTATTTTCTGCAGTAACTTCAGTAAATTACAAAGACAAATGTTATACTACAGCATACAACTTTTCAATATTTAACCAGAGTACTTGTAATAAATATGCTTCCTGAATCCAGGTAAAAGGCTACACTTTATCAGGTATCCTAGAAAACGTCTCAAGTGTGATACTCTGCAGCATGTCTGGGCGGCGGGGGCGGGGAGGGCTGTACTTTGTGGTTTCTAGAAGAGCTGTGACCCAGACAGAGTCTTTTCGCATTTCTTTGGAGCATTTTTGAAATTGCTTACCTATAATTAAACAACTGAAGTAACACCAAGCTCTAAAGTCATTTTGCTGTGCTGTTGTTGATCCTCCTCCGGTAGAGAAGAACCCACCATCTAATCCAGCCTGTCACCCTGTGGGCCAGGTGGTCCTGAGGTGCATGGTACACACAGTCAGAGCAGGCTGACACTTTCAGTTAACAGACTTTGGAGAATTCTGCATTGGGTTTCTCTCTGCTCCCCATAGGATCAAAACCATAAAGGGAAGCTCTAAGCAAGTCAGAAATGCTTTTATCTGAAAATAACGTAAACAGAAGTTCATTTTCCCCAAGACCTTTGCTATGCACCATCATAATACCATATCAGGAGTTTTAGTTTCAAAGTTGCAAAACTGATTGTACTAACAATTCTTCCAGAGAGAGTTTATGGGCCCTGTTAGAGCTGGGAACTTCAAAAATATTCAGTGGGCAAGATGAGGGTTTACAATAGGCAGAGAACACGCTGCAGTTCTGAGGATACAGTGGCAGAAATTCCTAGGGCTATGGGTGACAGCTTATATTGAAAACTTTGCTATAGCTGAAAACTTTGAGGAAAACGTTATATTTTTCAAAGTCTTAAGTATGGTTACCTAAAAAAAAATACCTTGTTAATAGAATCTAGTGTAAATTTCACTTATTTAGGAATTTAGATAGAAAAAAAAAAATCACTAAGAGCCAATAAAAATATTATAGAGAAAAAACACTTTTAAAAATGTGAGGTTCAAAAACAATGAGGCATCTCTTTTGGCTGTAAACACAGAGTTTACTGTAATCCCTTGTTGGAACACAAGTGTCTGGATTTCCTGAGCTTCATGGATAACAGCAAGAGGCAAGTATGCATAGAAAATTTGTAAAATGTCAATGACTGATTTCAAAAGAAAACTTTTATGGATAATTTGCTTTTACTTTTAGACTTCAAATTTTAGTTACTAGGGCTCATCAAACTGGGAATTTGACAAGCAGGGTGATGAGATATAGAAGGTAGATGGTGGGGGTGGGGGTGGGGTGGAGAGTAAGGAGGATAGAATTGAGTTTTTAAATGCAAGGATGTCATGACAAAAGGTATGAAATCAGCATATTATCACTAGTGCCATACTAACTTATTAAGAGATGAAACCATCTTTTGGAAGTCAAAGGCAAAAAGACCTCTGCTGTGCTGTAGGGCATAGCCCAAGTATAGGGATGGAACAGCATTCACTGAAGGGGAACCTAACCCATTACTGAGAGGGGAGCTACTCAGCTGTCAGGTGCCAAGAGGGGCACCCACCCGCCAGCATCAGCACCCATGTCACAGACTGGCTAATCGGCCTCTGGAATCTAAGGGTCTTTCACCTCTGCTGGTTTTAAAGTCTCTGGACAGTTCTAAGGAGGGCAGTCTTCTCAGGAGATCTGTCATCAGAAGTCTTTGGAATGGGAAGAAGCTATGCTAAGTCACAGTGCACACCATGCATGTGAACAACGGCAGTGGTGGTCAACAACTCTGGATCCAACACAAAGATGGGCAACAAGGGGGCAGTGTTCTTCCTAGGAATCCACTTTACTTCTTCTGCGACTGGTTTTTACACATGGTAAGGATTTGCTTCAGTACTTTCTGAACATCTTCATCCATTTGGCCCTGGGAAATGCAAATGAAAGATGCTCATTAGAACCCACGGTAAGTCATGGGACAGTCTTCTAGAGATGAGATGGCTGCTAGGAGGAAGCTGCTGGCTTTCCCTCTGATCTTTTAGATGAATTTGTTGGGTGCCATTGAGTCAATTTTGACTCATGGTTGACCCCATGTGACAGAGTAGAACTGCGCCCCCTAGGGTTTTCTTGGCTGCAATCTTTATGGAAGCAGATTGCAAGACAGTTCTCCTGTGGAGTTGCTGAGGGAGTCTGAACCAAGAAAGTTTTGATTAGCAGCTGAGCACTTAACCATTGTTCCTCACCAAGGAGGGCTCCTTAGATGGATGCTATCCCTGCCAATTCCCACATTGCTATGAGGGCCAGAATCCAAGACTGGGATTGCTCTTCCTTTGGAGGAGGATGAAGCTGGGTCTACCTAAGTGCCCAGCACAGCGTCTCTGGGTTCTTGGTTGTAGATGTGAGCCTCACTAGCCAGAATGCTAATCATCTCCAAGCCTAGGTAGTGCAGCTGGCTCTGAGAGAATCAGTATGCCTGGAAGTCAGAGCCAGCGAGTCCTAATGGGGCCAGCAGTCACGTGCTGCTTCAATTTAACAACCATTGATGAGACTGCTCCTGATACACACAGCCTGAGGTTCCTGACATGAAACCCAAAGCAAAGAAAAGACAGTTTTTAAAGCTTCCCAGTGAAAAAGGAGTCTCCCCTTTCTTCTGGTTTAATGATGGGCGTTCTGGTGATGTCTAATACTGGGTTTCTTTAGGGTATGCAGAGACTTCAAGGGGTGTGTACATACCTGCACAGCATAGAGGAGATGCATTCTGTAAACTGATATGACCTCCTGGTGTTGTTTCTTGCATTCCTACAAAAAGGCAGTTTGACATTATTAAAGTGCGTAGGAACGTTTAAACAAACAAATACAGCAAAAAACTATAGGAAAGCTGAAGCTAAATGCTGCCCATGTAATGTTCCCTCTTTAAATGCTAGTATTTAAAATTGCTGTGACATCACTGGGTTGTGCTTTCCTGAACACGTGTTAATATTTTATGGGGAAAAAAGGCTTATTCATACCATGTCTTGGAATGTCAACTCTAAAAAGAAAATTCATGGGGAAAAAAATATTATTCCAACTGATTATTCCAAATAAGTTTTTAAAAAAAATAGATGCAGGTAGACCCTGACTTAACGATATAGCTGAATTATGACAAACTATAAGACAGGAGTCCTGGTGTGGCACTGTAGGATATAAGTTCTGGACTACTAACCACAAGGTCGGCTCCTCTGAAACCCTACACAGAGTTGGAATCGATTTCATAGCACACAACAGAAACATACTTATGCTGCCCTTTTTTTTTTTTTTTTTTTTTGAGTATTTAACTCATAGACTCATTTGCACCTAAGCTTTTTATCTGTTTTGAGTTGCTTTCAAAATCTGATCCTATGTAATATGGTTTCTCAAAGAGAACAAAGCTCATAGCAGACAATCTTGATGAGCTAAACTAGACTGTTGTTTTGTTTAAAGAAGGCTTCAGGGGGTAATTTTGCTTTATGATGTCAGGATGATCTAAGGCTAGTAGTAGCTTCAGGAGTTTCTCTAACCTTGATGGTTCCAGGAAGTCTGCATTCCATGAGCACTGCAGTTCTGTTCTACATCCCGCTCCCACCTCCAGTAGGGTCAGAATTCTTCTGTAGAATCTTGGATCAAAATGTTCAGTAATGGTAGCTAGGCCCCATCCTGTTCTAGTTTCGCGGCAAAAGATGCAGTCATGCATGGAGACAGCCATCCATGCCTTCCAATTCCACCTCCTATTCTTGACTTTTCCTCCTCTGTTGTTCCGAGCAAATAGAGGCAAACTGCAAGCTTTTAAGACCCTAGGCAACTATCTAGACGGTAGCATATATATACACATATATATTTAACATTTATATGCACCTTTTTTAAAAAAAGTTTTTATTGTGAATTGAGTAATAGTTTACATGGGAGAACATCAGTTTTACGCTCATTGTTTTCTCCTCTGTGCATCATCATCTAACAGTATTTGCTTCTATTCCCTCTGCTTTTTGGGGGGAGGTACACAAAAACACTCAGGAATTTAAACAACCCAAGGGCACATTCTGCAAGCCTGCTTGCTGGCCACCAGCACACAGCCTTTCTCTTTCCATGAGTCTAGAGTCCTTAGCTGCTCTATCTCTCCATGTCCTCCTCTCTGCCTTCATCTCTGGTGTCACTGCTTCTCTGGATAGGGTCCCACGTACAGCTCATGCTCTTCTCCCTTGATGGTCCTAGGGTCCTCTGTTCCTGGACTGTAAGATTAACTACTCTCCCCTTTTTGTTATAAAACTTGTACCTTTTTCAGTTGCAACAGTCACAATTAGCCATGATAACAATTACTCAGTATTGAATCATAAGAATCTTATCTCCATCTCCTTTCATCAGACCCATCTAGACATGATGAAAACTATTCAGTGGGGATTCTACCTTCACCCATATACTCTAAAACTAAACTCCCTCTTGAAAACTTGTAAGCCAGTCACTTTGTGCCTTTATAGCCTCCCTTCAACCCCCTTTTAGGTATCCAGTGTCTAAGTTGCCTGTGTCTATCAACCCTGTATACAGAGGGGATAGGATTGATCCTTGATGTGAAGACTCCTTCCCTATCAGTTGGTACAAGCCATGGTATTTTCAATAACCTCATATGCATGGAAAGCTTGACAGTGAATTAGGAGGACCGTAGAAAAATTGATGTAGAAAAAAAGAAGTGCAGCCAGAGTGCTTCTTAGAGGCCAAGATGGCCAAACTTCGTCTCTCATACTTTGGACAAATTGTCAGGAGAGACCAGTCACTGGAGAAGGATATCATGTTTGGTAAGGTGGAGGGTCAGAGAAAAAGACGAAGACCCCCAATGAGATGGATTAGCCAAGTGGCAGCATCGATGGACTCAAGCGTGGCAACAGTAGTGAGGTTGGCCCAGGATTGGGCAGTGTTTTGTTCTGCTGTGCATAAGGTCACTATGAGTCGGTACCAACTCGATGGCACCTAACAACAACAACAACAATGTATAGGTAAAGTTCATCAAATTATAGCAATATACACTTGTTTTCTTTATCAAAAATAGTTTTTTTTAATCTTCCTCTATTTGAGTTCTGAGCATCAAGCCATCACAGCTACATTGAATGAGTACTATTTACAAGTTTGGGCGTTCTTGTGCGTCTCCTCTCATTTCATATCTGCTGAATGCTTCACTCTCAGCTCTAGCCCTCTGTGGCTATGTCCTTGTACATGGGCTTAAGAGTCCCCAGGTCTCATCATACTTTGGACCAAGCAGCCCTTCCTCTTCTCTCTCCCCTCTCCAGGTCATTGGGAGTCTATGGAACATGGTTGAACTCAGCCCATTTCTTCATTGCTGCCTTTCCCCTTCTTCCACTCACCAGTAGACCAACGTGGTTGCCAGCAAGCTTACATGCCTGCTCGTGTGTACTCTTTGAGTTTCAGTCTTGAAGATGGGTTTGTCCTGATGGGACTTGATTGCTTGCCTTGATGGCTTCCCGGCAAACAACTTGCTTGTCCTTGTAATAGCCAATCAGACAGTAGCATATATTTCTTAATTTAAAATCTAACTTATGATATATTTGAATTATGACAAACTAGACTTAAATAAATGACTGTCCTCTTTTTTTGAACATTTAACTCATAGACTCGTTTTCTCCTAAGCTTTTCATCCATTTGATTTGCTTTTAACAATTTGATCCCATAAAGGAGTTACTAATCATTCATTACATCATTGTTAGGTGCTGTCAAGCTGATTTCAACTCATAACGACTGCACATGACACAGAACTGTCCCAAAGGTGTTTTGTTTAGACTCTAATCTTAATGGAAGTAGACTGACAGAGCTTCCTCTTGCACAGCTGTTGGATTGATCTGAAGCATCTTTAGTTAGCAATTGAACACTGACCCATTGTGCCAACAGGGCTCTTTACTGTTGTTGTTAAGTGCCATCAAGTCAGTTCTGACTCATAGCAACCCTGTATAGGGTTTCCAAGGAGTGACTGGTGGATTTAAACCACCAACTTTGTGGTTAGCAATTCAACGCTGATACCATTGTATAATTCTCAAGCACTCAATAATTCAGCTACCATTGTGCTGAAGAATCAGAAGGGTAGCACCAATCTAACTGGGTCCTCAGTTCAGCTACTCATGCTTTTATTTTCCCTTGCTGAAGCTATTTCTCTAGTTCCTCTCAGTGACTAGTTTAAGGATCTTAGTTCTGACCTAGTCTCATTTTACCAGGAGAACAGTGACCTACAGGATACAGTAAGGGGCATTTGCTATCTCTAATTATGACCAGAGAGAACTCTCATGACCTAAGAACCAGCATCGAATTTTGTGGTCCCAAATTACAGAACCTTGACTTCTGTACTGAAGACATCATTAAATCCAGCTCCTATACTTAACTGGAAGTTAGAGAAAGTCCGGAAATGAACCCTTAACAATTAAAACCTTAACAGACATTATGATGTTGTTGTTAAGTGCTATCAAGTTAGTTTCAACTCATAGCGACCCTGTATAGGGTTTCCAAGAAGTGGCTGGTAGGTTTGAACCATGAGCCTTGCTGTTAGCAGTCCAGTGCTTGTCTTACAATGCCACACCAGGACTATTATGAGGTAAGCTAAATGCTGCCACCTAAAAATGTCCACATCCTAATCCCTGGCACCTGTGAATATCACCTTCTGGGGGAAAAGGGGGATTCCTGGTGTGGGGCTGTACAAAAAAGCACTGGACTACAAGGTCAGTTTGAACCCCAAGGTCAGCAGCTCATATCCACCAGTCATTCCTTAGAAACCCTATATGCAGGGCCACTATGAGCTGGAATCTGCTCGACGGTACTTACAACAACAAATGAGAAAAGAGACTTTGAAGATGGAATAAAGTTGAGATTTGAGATTCGGAGAGAGATTATTTTGGATTGTTGCTGTTTTTAAGTGTGATCAAGTTGGTTCTGACTCATAATGACCCCGTATAGGGTTTCCAAGGAGCAGATGCTGAGCTTGAACCACCGACCTTGCAGTTCAAACCAAGCTTGCAGTCCAGTGCATTAATCCACAGCACCATACCAGGATTAACCAAGTGTCATCCCTAAATGTGATCACAAGAGTCCTTATAGGATAAGGCAAGAAAGTCAAAAGCAGAAGAAGACGGGAAGATAGAAGCAGAGTTTAGAGGGATATACATTAGAAACAGAGAAAGTGTCATGAACTAAGGTGTATCAGTGGCCTCTAGAAGCTAGAAAAGGCAAGGCAACTGCTTGTCCTTTAGAACCATCCGAAGGAACTCTTGCCATTTTCTGAACTCTAACCTCTAGGGCTGGTAGCGTAGTGGTTACAAATCAGGCTGCTAACCTCAAGGTTGGCGTTTGAAACTACCAGCTGTTCCATGGGAGAAAGATGACGCTTTCTGCTCCCGTAAAGATTTACAGCTTTGGAAATCCTGTACAGGGTTTCATGACCCCATGGTGCTTAAGAACAACAACCTCTAGGGCTGACCTAGAATTAAATCGCATTGCCTTAAGCTACCACGTTCCAGGTGATTGTTACAGCAGCCATAGGAAATGAATACAGATACCAAAAGGCTTTCTTGGGTTAAATAAGAAGAGAAGTCAAGAATCAGCTTCAGATACACAACTACCAGAGATTCTGGCTCCTAAGAAGAAAAAGCTCTTGCCACAGCCAGGGATGGTACTAAATGTTGCAGAAAGGTGTGGGTATGTCCACCAGAGTTCCTCCCAGCTGTGCATCTCCTTATATCTTACTGCACATACCCACAGAGAATTACACCCTTGGTGCACCTCCCCCAAAGAATTCTTCAGTCAAGTGCCCGCTCAAGTAGAGAACTCCATGAGCTGGGAATCTTATCTTTCCCTCCACCTTGACAGTGGCCTTGGCCCGCCCCCTAACCAGGCTGTAGAACCAAGCTCCACTCACTGCCAGCTGGGTCTGGAGCTGTTTGACCTGCTGCTGCAGGGTTTCCAGGTGCTGAGTCTGCCTCTTGGAGGAGCTCGTTGAGTAGGAGAGCTGGGAGAGGCTGTTCAGGGCCTCCTTCAATTTGGTGACTTCCTTCGCCATCTCATTTATCTACCGAGAAAGGACAGCCATACCAATCAGCAAGAAGCAAAGTTTCAGACGTTCCTAAGTCTCAAACAGTCATCTCTATTGGCCTCTGGGACTTGAGACTTAGAAACGAATCTTTTTTTCCCTAAAAGAGAAATTCACAAAATGAAATCAATCCAACCCAACAAATGCCTCTAAATCTGTCATTATGTTCAGATAAAGGCCCTGAATTACATATTTTGTTTCAGTGAATGCCAGGAACAAAAGCTGTGATGTTGTTTTCCTTCTTTTATTGTGTAAGAAGGCAACAGGACACAGGATTGCAGGCATTCTTTATCTGAGGTGTGATAAATACATAGTTCTTACCCTGAGATTCCTCAGATGGATAATAGGGAGTGTGGTCTAGGAACCCTGGTATCTCTGGACATCTTGCTTTACAGTGAGCATAACCCTCCTGCTTTGGGCTTGTGAAGATCTTTTCAAACACTCATTGGAAAGGAATAAAAGACAAAGAGTGCTCCAATCTCGGTGATTCAAAGGGTTCAGCTTGACTAGCTAAATGGTTGGTGGCTCGAACCCACCTAGAGGTGGCTTAGCAGACAAGTCTGGCAATCTGCTAAGTGGCTTCTGAGAGGTGGCAGTCTTGAAAACTCTGGAACACAGTTTGCTCTGCACACATTGGGTCACCTGGCCAAGAGTCAGAATCAACTCCAGGGCAATTGGCAAGAGGTGTTCTAATGAACACAGAGTCGATTCCTGCATGCCCTCCTTCACTTTCTTCCATATCCAGTGGCATTTCTGACTACCTGTCACCCACCTCTGCCTCTTCCCTCCCATATGCCTTTGAGAATGAGGACCAGGGAGTGTGGTTTTTATCCTCACTCAGGTAAAGGTCATGGAGCCTAGAGAAGCAGGATTAAATCTGAGAGTATTTTAGCTTCCGTCGGACAGAAGAATTTTGGATTCCATAAGACCTGAAGTTCTAGATGTGTCAAACACTTTTTAGTTTGTGGGTTCACATCTAATACCTGGTTCTGTAAAATGATCTTTTAAGTACAAATGAGTCCTGGTGTGGTACTGTGGGTTAATGTGCTGAACTGCAAAGTCAGTTTGAACCGCAAGGTCGGCAGTTCAAGCTCATCAGCTGCTTCCGGAAACCCCATACAGGGTCGCTATGGGTCGGAGTTGACTGAGGACACTTAGCAACAAGTGCTATATGGAGTCCTGGTGTGGCACTATAGCATAACCTCTGGTTGGTTTGAACTGCAAGGTTGGTGGTTCAAACTCACCAACTATAAGTTGGAATTGACTCGAAGGCACTTAACAACAATACCATATATGTGAAAATGCTTTACTATAAGCGAAATCTTAAGCTCTATTTTTTCCTTTTCTTTTTAAAATCCAACATAGTAAGAATATGTAAATATATACGATTCTTTCTGTCGTGCTGGAGACAGATATAGTTCATGTGCACAGCCTCAGGGCAGCCACAACAGGTTAGTGCTAACAAATGTATTGTGTGCCATCAAGTTGATTCCAACTCAGAGCCCTAAATGGCAGAGTAGAACTGCCCCATCGGGTTTCCTTGCTGTAAACTTGGTGGAAGAAGATCACCAGGTCTTTTTCCAGCAGAGCTGCTGGGAGCTACTAACCACTAACCTTTCAGTGAGCAGCCAAGTGCTGAACCATGTGCCACCAAGACTCCAAATGTGACAAATGCCAAATACATGGAAGTTGAGAGGCTTATTGGTGTTGTGTGCTGTCAAGTCGAGTCTGCCTCATGGTGACCCTAAAGAACACAGTATAACTGCCCTATAGGGTTCCCTAGGATGAGACCTTTATGGGAACAAACTGCCAGGTGTTTTGCTTCCCGTGGAGCAGCTGGTGGGTTTGAACTACCAACTTTTCAGTTAACAGCCAAGCCCTTGACAATCATTGAACCACGAAGGTCTTAGAAAGTTAACAGAAAGAGAATGTCACCAACCTTCTTATCTTTATCCTCCTCCAGTTTTAAAGAGCTCTCAGAAGATCTCTTCATCTCAGCAAGGTCTTCCTGAGACTGCTGGAACTTTTGCAGAAGTTCATTTATTTCTTGCTCTTTGGACTTTAAGAGCGTCTGAATAGTCTCCTTTTCCTTTTTTATTTGCGAGACTTCACTTCTAGTTTGGGCAATCTCTGAATGAGCTTTCTCTTTCTCTTTCACCGAATCCTTTAGTTTCGATGCCAGCACATTCACTTCACTTTCTAAAGATGACTGGAGCTTTTCATAAGAAGACCTGGGCACCATCGCATCGGTCATTGCTGCTTTCTCTTCTAAGAGTTGTCGCTCCAGCTTGGCCACTTCCACCTCTTTGCCTGCAAGGTGCTCTTTGAGACGGCTTATTTTTTCCTCCATCTCTTTTGCCGTAGTCCGCAGCGAGGTTATCACTTGCAAATGTTCTGTGATGGAAACAGAGTTCTCTTTTTGGGCATCTACCAGCTGTTTGAGCTGGGTCAACTCATTTAATACTTTGGAATACTGAGACTTCATTTCAGACAGAGCCTCTTCTGCTTTAACCTTGGATACACTTGTCACTTGCAGCAGCTTCTCATGCTCCGCTTTATGGATGTAGTCGGCTGTGACGTCTTCTAGGGATTTCCTCTTCCTGTAGTCCTCCAGCTCGGCCTGGGCTTCTTTGTACAGCTGAGATAGCTCGCTCACCTGCTTATTGAGTTCATCGATCATCCTGTTCATGGCTTCTTTCATGTCCCCCGCTTCATCACTGGCTTCCTGGGCCACCTGACTTTGTAACTTGTCTTTTAATTTCATGATCTCTTCTTGGGCCTCTTGGTATTTCCCAAACAAAAATGCTTTCTCCTTATTCATATTCTCAATAACAGAGCAATACGAACTTTTCATTTCCTCTACTTCTTCTACAGGTGGCTTCATCGCCACTACCTTCTCCTTCTCTTCAAGTCTGCTTTCCAGTTCTCTCACTTTCTCTTTATTTCTTTCACTCTCTGCTAATGCATTCTGAAGATCCTGCTTTAGCATATCGAGCTCCTCCTCGGTGATTCTCAGTTCGTGGAGACGGGAGTAACTTTCCACGCGCTCTGGTGAGGCAAGGTCCAGCGTCATCTGCTTCTGCACACTGAGGACCTCTTTCATGGCTTCCTCGTATTTACTTTGCGTTTCTTTCAGTTTCTGGCTGAGGTCGGAGCCATTCTCAGAAATCTCTGTATTGTTGAAGCCTGTCAGCGCTGTCCCTCTGGACTGGAGTTTGGTCTGGAGCTGCTGTTTTTCAGCTTCAGAGATCTCCAATCTCTTTTCCAAGTCTTGCAAAATCTCTTGTAGTTGCTGAATCTTGACATCACTGTTTGTAGTGGACTTACCCATGGGATGGGTTGAAGCAGAGGGAGGTGATTTGCAGTCTGGGGCAGAGGTGTCATTTGATTTGCTCAGGGATGGAGCCAGGTCAGTTTGGGTGGAATGGTAAGAATCAAAACTTAGGTCTGTGTCTGCCTCCTTGGGTGTTTTGGCCTGAGGGAAAGACAAACAAGTATTAAATGGCATCAGTACTGAGGCAGGGGTCCTGGTGTGGTGCTGTGGGTTAATGTGCTGGACTGCAAAGTCATTTTGAACTGAAAAGTCAGAGGTTCAAGCTCACCAGCCATTCCTTGGAAACCCTATACAGGGTTGTTATGGGTTGGATGGAACTGTTAGTCATAATTGGTCATTATGGGTTGGACGGCACACAACAACAACAAAAATATTGAGGTAAGATGAGGAAGCAATTGGAATGGGAGGACCAAATTCAAAATGAAGTGATGGGCAAACAGCACAAGCATTTTGTGTACTTGATGCCCCATGAAAAATACATGAAACTGATCAGGTAGTTCTCTTAAGAGGGCAGATTATTTATGCCACTTTTAAACCACTGGAATTCATTTTGACTGAAAACCCTCTGACTCAAAGAAAAAAATCTTTCATTTCCCGTTTCTCATATGATTCTAATTTTCAAAGGGGCAATGAGCTTGCAACAGCTTTACTAAATGAATGGCTAATATTATATAGAATATTACTGACAATGACTAGTATATATATGTAGGGAGCATGGTGATTTCGTATGATAAGCATTGGACTATGAATCACAAGGTCTGTGGTTTGAGCCTGCCAGCTGTTCTGCGAGAGAAAGCGGAGGCTTTTCTGTACCTGTGAATATTTAAAGTCTTGGGAACCCTATACTGGGTTGCTATGAGTCAGAACCAACTTGACAGCACTTAACAAATAATATATAATACATGAATATATGGGGGGGCTTCAAAAAGTTTGCAGAACTATTGAATGAAAAGGTAATGGGATTTTCCCACAAACTTTTGGAAACCTGTTGTTGTTAAGTGCCGTTGGGTCAGTTCTGACTCATAGCAACCCTGTACATAGGGTTTCTGAGACTGTGAATCTTTGTGGGAACTGAAAGCCTCTTCTTTCCCCTATGGAATGTCTCGTGGGTTCAAACTGCCGACCTTGTGGTTCACAGTCCAGTTCTTCTCCTACAGAGCCACGGTGCTCCTTTTGTAAGCATATATATGGAGCTCTGGTAGCACAGTGGTTACAAATTGGGCTGCGAACCACAAGGTCAGCAGTTCCAAACTACCAGCTGTTCCATGGGAGAAAGATGAGACTTTCTGCTCCCGTAAAGATTTACAGCCCCAGAAACACTATACAGGGTCTCTATGAGTCAGAATCAACTCCACAGCATGTAACTACTAACTACTATATATGTAATTTACCAATGTACAGAAATAGTGTTAATGACTAAAACTCCCAAGAAACTCTACAGTGCTTAGGACTAACTGCATTTAAGAAAAACTCATATAACTGTCTAAAACAGAGCATCTCCACTACTACTTGCTGTCAAGTCAACCCTGAATCAGAGCAACCACTCCTGGTTCCACAGAAGTTTCAAAGGTAGAGTTTTCCTAAGTAGACCACCAGGCCCTTCTTTGGAGGCGCCTCTGAGTGGAAGTGAATCCCCAACCTTTTAGTTAGTTTGCTGAGCCTGTTAACGGTTTGCAACTAATGTAAATGCTTAAAGTAAAATAGATATCCTTGAAAACCCCAATAGCTTGACCTTGTATTCTGTAGTAGCAATCTATTTACCTACCTGTAATTTATCTTGCAATTCCTTGTTGTGTAAGGTAAGGGAAGCAACTTTAGCTTGTAATAGGGCAAGAAGATCTTGTTGGTCAGCTTCGGAACTTATATCCAACAAACTATCAGCACCTTAGAATAGAGACAGACAATTTAAAACAGTATAAAAAAATTAAGCGATTTGCTCGCCAACCCTTAACAAACTCACCTTCTATCCCAAAGCTAGCTCTTCCTAGTCCTCCACTAATAAATAGACTAGATGCACAAACAGCACTTTTCAGACTGGAGTTTCCTCACTGCCGTATTCCTAGCACGATACTAGATACATGGGCGCATATAAGCTGCTTCTGAAAACAGATGGATCTGGCCATACATATTCCGTTCACCTGATTAAGTTCTAAAATGCTGGCTGCTTTGGTTCCCACCTATATCCAATAGTCCCATTGTGTCAGTGATTGTCTTGTGAAATCTCCCATGAACTGGCTTCATTTCTTATCCTTGGTTAAGATGTTATCACTTTACATGGAAACGCTCTTAACAAGTCTCTGTCTCTCTCTTCTCCCTGATAGAAGGCAGTTTGCACAGCAAGGTCACATTACTCTCCCTAAAGCATAACATGATTGGGTCAATCTTTGGGTTCAAGTGATTTAATTGTTCTTCCAAAAATTATCTCAAAAATCTTTCAGCTGGGTTAAGAGCTGCATGACCTGGCCCAATCAAGGTACCTTGATTTTATTAATCACTGCTTCTTTCTGTAGCTTTCCATTAGTCTCAAAATACAGGTTGTGGAGAAGAGATTGAAGTTGTCAATGATTTCATTTTTCTTGGATCAACTATCAACACTCATGGAAGCAGCAGTTAAGAGATCAAACGACATATTGCATTAGGCAAATCTGCTGTACAAGATCTTTTTAAAGTGTTGAAGAGCAAACATGTCAGCTTGAGGACTAAGGTGCGCCTGACCCAAGCCATGTTGTTTTCAATAAGTTCATATGCATGCGAAAGCTGGACAGTGAATAAGGAAGATCGCAGAAGAATTGATGCTTTGAGTATGGTGTTGGAGGGGAATATTGAAAGTGCCATGGGCTGCCAAAAGAACCAATAGATCCGTTTTGGAAGAAGTGCAGCCAGAGTGCTCCTTAGAGGCCAAGATGGCCAAACTTCGTCTCTCATACTTCAGACATATTGTTAGGAGGGACCAGTTGCTGGAGAAGGATACCATGTTTGGTAAGGTGGAGGGTCAGAGAAAAAGAGGAAGACCCCCAATGACATGGATTGGCAAAGTGGCAGCACTGATGGACTCAAGCATGGCAACAGTAGTGAGGTTGGCCCAGGATCGGGCAGTGTTTTGTTCTGCTGTGCATAAGGTCCCTATGAGTCGGTACCGACTCGATGGCACCTAACAACAACAACAATGGGTCGGAATCGGCTTGATGGCACTTCACAACAACAAAAAAATCACACTTTCAGGAGTCCTGGTGTGGCACTGTGGGATAAAGCACTAGACCACAAGGTAGATTTGAACCATAAACTCGGTGATTAAAACTCCCCAGGTGCTCCTTGGAAACCCTATACAGGGTCGCTGAGTTAAAACAGACTCCATGGCACTTACCAACAACGACACCATCAGACCTTCTATGTTCTCAACACCAGGTGGATCTTTTGATTCTTTAGCTGTCCTTCCAGCATTGCTGTGTCTACATGAAAAACTGTTACACATCTGTTGTGGATTGAGTTACGTCTCTCCAAAGTATGTGCTGGGGTCCTACCCTCCCCTACCAAAGGATGTAATGCCATTTCAGGACTAGAGCTTTCTTTGCTATGTTAATAAGATGTACAATAGTATGTATACTTAGGGTATGCCCTGAGCCTACTCACTTCTAGCTAATAACAAGCAGATCAGACACGGAAGGACGCACAAACTGGGGAAGTCAGTAGCTGAAAGAAAGATGAGGGTCCTCCACCAGAGCCGGCAGAGAGAGCCTTTCCCTTGAATTCAGACTTCTAGCTTCTGAAATTCTGAGAAAATACATTTCTCTTCATTAAAACCACATACTTGTTAGAGCAGCACCAGCTCACTAAGACAGGATCCTTAAAGACCCATGGCAAACATTTGTTCCACGAAAGCACTTGCTGATCATCCCATCATTCTCTGAAGCCAACAGTAATCACTAAACCACACATGGGGAAATATTACTGATTACCATGCTGAATGAACATCTAAAACACCATTACTCAAGGTGCTAAAAGGAATTTGCTCCAGAATTAATTCAACATACAGCTTCTTTGATGCAGAAAGTTTTCTAATGGAAAAAGAAAATGTCAGCTGAGCAAGACTGTGCCCTTGACAAAGCTAAAAGACGTTCTGGTGAAAACTCCTTATTTATTACGTTTATGGACCATACTTTGATTAGCATGGACTGAAATGGTTTCCTGCTGTGCTGCTCATTTCTCACAACCATTTAATGCAAAGATGAACATTTTAACCTTTTAGGAAGCATGCATAATGTGTTTCTTCACTGAATAGCTTGCTTCTGATGTCTGTTTGATGCTCAAGACATATCTGGGTCCCCTTGATGGGAAGTCTGCTGGGGCTGAAATGAACCTGGAGGTTAGGGCCAGGGCCACAATTCTAAACAATAAAAATTACTTCAAGGATACAATGGACTGTTTGAAAAGCATTCAGTTAATAGTTGGTCAGTTATATTAGAATTAATCTTTGCCAGGAATGACCAACTTCTGTATTTTAAAAATTCTGAAAATTCAAGGGTTCAAACATATATAAAATGCATAACAGATTAAGAAACGGAATGCTGAAGCAAATCGGGACCTTAGAAATCAGCCGTCTGGGGTTTCCCAAATGCTGGTCTGCAGATGTCTCTATTTTTAATGAATTCTGAAGGTACTGGAGTACATTCTTAGACATTAAACCCTTAAAATGGACTCTCAAAGGATATTGTTGTTGTTGTTACATGTTGTTGAGTCAGTTCTGACTTAAATCAACACTATAATGTGGTTTCTGAGGCTGTAAATCTTTGCAGGAGCAGAAAGTCTCATCTTTCTTCCTCAGAGCAGATGGTGGGCTCGAACTGCTAACTACATGGTTCACAGTCCAGTGCTTATTGTATAGATCCACTGTGCTTCCTTCATAAAGGACTATTATTGGTGTTAAATGCCATCAAGTTGGTCCCGACTCATAGCGACCTTGTATAGGGTTTCCAATGAGTGTCTTGTGGATTTGAACTGCCAGTTTTGCAGTTAGCAGTTGGATGCACTAAACTCTGTCTGTGTGAAATCGGTGAGACTGTGTATGATTTCATTAACACTCTGTCTCTGAACATATCCATTTAAAATCTGGAGCAGAAAAGCCAGACAGTGGAAGCCAGCAGGGTACGTTCAGCTCAGCTTAGCCCAGCCCCCTTCCCAGAACGAACTTGCTGCTCAGCTGCAAGAAGTCAGTCAGCTGACAGCCTCCAGCTGTTGGCTACTTCAGGGTCCACTTCAACTTTGGAGCCAAGGCCAGTTCTTCCCAGGCAACTCCCGGCAATAACAGAGAACATGGTAGGGACACCAGGGTCTGGCCTTTGTACCAAATGCAGAATTCCTCCAACGGCATCTTTGTCACATGTGCCTTGCAGTCCCAACCCAAACCCTACAAAGCCTGTAGTATTCCATCTCTCTCTCAGCCCTTGCCTCCCAGAGGGTCCAGCTAGGACACCCTATCAGAAGTGGACTGAACTGCAAGTGGGAAGAGGCCTGGGTCACTCACTACCGTGCAGGCAAGGAGGACCCCACCCTTGCTAGTCGGTGGAGCCCAAGTAATTCCTGGCTTAATGTGACAGCCCACTTGCTAAAACTTTCCCTGTCATCTCAGGAGGATGTGATGGTGCAGGAGAATGACTTGGCTGGTGGGGTGATTTTTTTTTTTCCCCAAGAAAAATGAGAGGGTGGGGACAACGCCTATAAGAGCAAGGAAATGGGTTGGTTGTTATACTATTGCATTGATTTCCTGCAGAGGGATTATGAAACGCCAAAGGTAGTTATACCATTGAAAACAAACCATAAAGATAAGAAGGCCATTTCTCTAACTTTTGAAGTGGCTCTACACTGCTAGAGTGGGGGAAAAAAGACAAAAAACAGGAAAAGCTGAAGACTACATTTAGGATTTAACAGTTAAGAGCTGTCTATGGAATGCTCCATCGAGCCAAATCTGGAATGCAAACGTAAGAGCCCTGTTGGAGAAAAGCTGGGGACTCTGACCTCTGGGGTGGGATATCTCGTGGATGATTTGGAAGGTTTTGGTTTTCTAGGCTCATCTGAGCCCGTGTCTGCAGAGGGGGCCTACTGTTCTCTATGGAAGGTTAGCACTTCCCATTCCTGAGGCAGAAGGCACTGCAGAAGGCTCTCCCCAGCAAGACAATAGGGATGTCTTCAGGATCTGCTCTCACCTTCTTCAGGCCGCCAGGCCAAACCAGCCAGCTATGTGCTGGTCCTGACTGGGGAAGAAATGGACTCTACACTACAGAAACGACAAGATTTAAAGGCATAGACTGCAGGACTGGGTTTGAGGGTATTTAATGTGGCTGAAACCATTAAGACTAATGAGAGAGAGTTATTCACTTGGGTATGGAATTTGGAATTTCATACCCCAGCAAGGACCCCAGGGGACAGCGCTATAGTAGTTTGCTAGTAGAGTAGTAGAGTGGTTCCTAAATGTCTGGAAGAGCGATGGCTCACACCAACTAAAATGCCTGAATTTCCAAGGAAGACAGTGGAGGAAGGAATGAAAAGTCTCAGGGAATTTGGTATGTTGGAGTGAATAATAATGTATGTATAATAAGTAGAACTCAAGGGGGTGTGCACACCCATGAAACCACCACAATCAACCCATAGATATTTCCACGACCTCCAAAGCCTCCTGTGCCTTATACCATCCAACCCCTACTACACAACCAACTCCCAGACACCCACTCCTCTCCCCCCTTCCCCCCATTCTCTAGATTTCCTATAACTACAATGATACCACGCAGTAAGAATGCTCTTGGATCTGGCTTCCTTCACTCAGAATGACTCTGATATTCATCCTATTGCTACATGTACGGCAGTTTGCTCCTTTATATTGCCGAGCGGTA